CACCCCAAAACCCCAAAACCCCAAAACCCCTAATAAATTATCGAAAATTGCAACATTTCTAAGAACAGTGAAGATGCAAGTTTGCTACTAAGAGGCATTCAACTATGATTTGGACTATTATTTCTAGCATAAGAGTTAGAGTCTTTGTTAGGATTTGTTAAGCATAAACAGCCTATTAGTCTACATTGGCTAGAGATAACGAGGCAAGTGCCATGTTTAACTCAATCTAGCCAACTAAATCCCAATCCTGCATCAATCTTGGCATGACATATGGGTAACAAGTGTGTTTAGAATGCAAAAGAGTTATGGTGCATAGCATACCTAGGCACCTTTATTTGTTTATAAATCTGCTTTTGGCGTTGAAGGCTTTCTTTAATCCAACTGTTTTTCTTCTTCCGAATCCTTGCTTCAAGAGAATTTCTCTTGAGCATTATCTTCGGGACATTCCCAGGTATCGCAACATTACTAGGGGATAGCTTAGCCAGCTTGTTATCTATGCTCTTTGGGTAGGAAGATAAATTGATCCTCTTCGGTATCATAATCCCTATCTCAAGACGGCTTATCTCCTTAAAAATCTCTGTTTGCTTCTTAAGGTCATTCCTGGCCTTGATGAGCTTCTCTAAAGAGTCATGAAGGCTGCTTACTAAGATAGGCAATGTATTTCAGAATTTTTGATACTTTCTTAGTCCTTGCTCTCACCGTTTTCGCTAAAGATTACACAAAGATTACTGATTTTATATGCTTGAAGGATTTCATAATTTTCAAGATAACTGTAAATCATTTCAAGCTTATTTCGGCTTCCTTAACGTCTTCTGAAAGGTCGAGTACGGATTGATGAACCTTGCCCGAGGAGATGCCCTATAAGAATGAAATTTCATCGATAAAGAGGAAATCCTAGAGTTTAGGTGTAAATTTGCTAAATCTCATGATATTTTAGCTCCAATCAAAGGCAGGAGATCAGTCTAAACTCTCACCTTCGAGTATTGAGTTTCTACACATGATAGACAAGCTTACCTCCCTAACAAAGTCTCATTTCTGGAGGATCAACTTCCTCATAATCTTGTCCATCTGCAATAGATATTTAGGGATAGTTTGGGTATCTCGCTTAGTTTCTGCTTGCTTGAACTGGCTCTCAACATAACCAGCAGATACATTTTGAGACAAGAGCCTTTTTCTAGGCAAAGAAGTTTGGGGTTTGAGCTCTTTCTGACTGACCTCTAACTCTAAATACAAAGGAGCTCTCTCAATATTCCAAAGGGAAAGGAATTTTTACCTTGGGATTCATCAATTTTGACCTCTTCCTAATATTTGAATCATGGAATTACCTGGAAGAAAGACACGCTCTCACTTGAATTGGATTGTTTACCCACTGACATACTGTGATTGAAGCTATGCTGTGCCAGGTAAGAACATACTTACATATCTAGCCCCAACTTTCTTTTCTCAAGAAAGTTTCATCGGCTGCTTACTTTGGAGAGCTTTCAAGCTATCATTATCTCCTAGGAATAAGAGCTAGACTACCTTTGGATGACTTTATAAAGGATGAATATGAAGATAATTTAGATATCAGTGAGGATCAACAGATTTAGTAGTATTCATATTCAGCAGAAGGGGATTCTTGTTGTGGTAGCCTAGCTTTCTGTCACCGTTATTCTCATGATCCACTCTCTTAGTGTGTCTAGGTCAGGATAGTTAGAGACAGATTCAATAAAAATTCAGGTTCTTTAACTCTCCAAGGTTTGGAGGCCAAATCCTGTCTCAACCAGAGCTATTTTCGAAGTAAACTTACCCATTCTTGTAAGAAGAAAGTACTGAGTTGGAGAACTTGTTGGTAATGGAATTCCTCTCTACAGAAGTTGGTATCCAAGGTTACTCTTTTTCTCAGGAGGTTCTATCCTCCAAATCTTCTTGCCAGACTTGTTCAGCTGGAATGTGACATCTAGAGTGATCACCAAGGCTGTTACTTGTAACCTTCCTGTGGTTATTCCTTGATTTCAGCTTTTTGGTTAACTTATTTCACTATTTTTAAGAAATTATGATACAATTGTCACTGGAAATAGCCAGGCTCTTCTGTATTTCATCTGCTTGCTCATGCAAGACTCTGAGGCTGAGAGTTTATTAGAAGGTAAATTACCCGTTGTCAAAGTTTACAGTTGCTTTTCTAGTGAAGTTAAAGAGCCATAATTACCTATCCCTCGGTTTCAATCGACTGATATGAAGATTTTTGATCGATGGTTTAAAAGAATTCAACCTCTTTGGCTTAGAATTCACCATTGTAGGTTTTGGATGAAGATTTATGCAGTTATGGGATGATATCTTATGGTTTGTAAAATTTTCATGCCTACAAGGTTTCAAAAAAATTACATTTTGCTTCTTCGACTTTTCCTACTTTTTCTACTTCCTATTGCAGAATAAAATATTTCAAAATTAAGGAACTTACTGTGGCTATGTATGGACCCGGATCTTGAGCCGAAGGAGTAGTCTAATGAGCCATGTCCTAACTCTCCAATTGATATGTTTACTACAAATGACATCGGAATAAGTGCCTACAGGTGTCAAAATTATTCGGATCCCTTCGATCTCTATTAGTTTGGAATCTTCTAAAAAGTTTATTCTGAAGAATACCTTCGTTTATGCCTATTGATACTCTGAGTGTCTAGAGATATCTCTGAAGGACTTACCCTTGTTGAGGACGGTTTTGAAAACCTTGCTCCAGTTGAGTGGTTGGTCTGACTCAAATATTCCTAAAGTTAGGTGATCTCCATGATCTGGTTATTATACAATTATTTAGACACCCTAAATAGCTATTTGGGTAGCACTGGAAACATTCTAAAACTAAATCGGCTGAAATCTTGCCTGAAATAAGCGACTTTTCAGTCAGTTTTTTGTAGAAATTAGTATATACCGAGAGCTTGTTCATGAAGACTTGGGTTGAACTTATTCTTCTTATCAAACTTGATGCTCTGCATAAAGTCAGCTATAGATTAATCTGGATGTTTACAGAGCTCGCTATAGTGCCAGATTACCTCTGAAACTCCTTATCTCCATTAGGTAAGAATGGTTGGGAGTTTATCACAGAGAGTTTTCAAAATTGTATAAAATTCTACCTGAACGTGAACTTCTTCATTTGCATTTATATGAAATATTTTCAATTGTATAAAAATGATTTGGGGTTTTGGGGTTTTGGGGTTTTGGGGTTTTGGGG